TGTCGTGAAGCGCAAAGCCAGACAATAGATTGCGTTCTGCCAACCGCGGGTATCAAAACCCGAAATTTTCTTGTTACGCCCACTCAGACTTACGGCTAAGCTACCGAGGAGGAGTACTAAAATAATATTGTTTGCTCATATTTATTTTTGGTAACAAAGCGTTCGTTTTCACATTCTTTACTGTGTAACCTGCGTTGGCTTTTTCTACAAATCACAGAATATTAACTGCATTTACAGAAAAATTTGAGGAAAAAATATAATATGCCAAGATATTTTTGTGTACATAAGAAATCACTTATATTCACACAATAAATTTCACTCTAACTTCAGTTCCATGCATATGCGGCGAAACAAGGGTGCACTGGAGACACGTGCCCCCCCAAATTTTGACTCGGTAGTTAAGTGCTCTTTAAATAGGGTGGGAAATAGAGAGTTATGTAAAGTTATCAGAGAAAACCGCTATTTCACCTTTGAACTCAATGAACATGGTTGACATAAAAAAAATCAGATTCCCCCAGTCGTCAGTGTCCCCAAAAGTTCAAATTTGCAGAAATTCAGAGTGTAATCATGGTTATGTAAAAATCAACATCCATGGAAGTTCCAAAATGGGTCAGGGGCTAGTTCACGGGCTTACAACTCTAAAATCCGGGGTTCGATTCTCCGCTGTAGAAAGAGTGCAAATAGCCCACTGTGTAGCTTTGCACTGAGAAAGCGAAAATCAAAACTTGAAACTATAGTAATTCACCAGCAAGTGCCGTTTTTTGCATTTTTATTAACAATCAATTACTCTTTTTAAAAGAGTTAGAATTTTATAGCTGCTCCCCGGTCTTTCATCTCCTGTCCCACCCTGTTAGTGAGGGCTGCGATTCCATTCATTCAGTAGCCCTAAGAATTCGCGCATTCTTTTATAGTTAGACCACGTATGCGAGTCTACGCCTAATCCTCAAGTGCAATGAGCACTCACTAAAACGAACAGCAGGACATGTAATAAATATAAGTGGCTTTGTCCTGTAACTTCACGGCCAGCTACGATAAATTTTTTATGTACTGGTGGCTGACTTTTAACCTTGCCCTAGCATCCAAGGCTTGCATGTAAAATATGAATTCATATGGTAACTGTAAGCGGACGTAGTTGCAGTGCGAGGTTTTGATTGTTAAAGGCTGTTCTGTTATCGTAGTAATTTGCACACACGTGGAACGCGGTTAGTAAAAGACTTGAGAAAAGTAGTCGGAACAAATAAAGATGGTTTCAAGCATTTCATTTTCATATTTCTTTAGCCGTATATATTGCTTAATCACAATGATTTAGCAATAATTTCAATCTCTCATTTTTGCACTTAAATACTTTTGTATTCGTGCTATTTTTCTTTCTGTGTTTATTGTTTACGTTATACCCATATAGATATCCGGATGTACTGACACGTTGAGAAACATCAAGGAAAAGAAGTATGTTCAGATGAAAGAGTTGTCTTGGCATAAACGTTTTAGCTATTGTCACGCTGTCATAATATTTCCATTAACCAATAAACACAATTTGCAGCAGTATATAGAATATAGAATGTGTTTATGGATAAAAAATAACAATAAACACTTTTTTTTTGTCTGATATTGTTACAAACAACATGGCATAAGAATTTCATGATTGACTTCAGATTGAAAGAAAAATCAAGATTGAAATAATTCATTAAGATCATTTCCTGCACCAAGCTCTTAGGCAATTTAAAAGTGTAGCTTTTTTGTAGAAATTAATATTACTATTATAAATTCGTCATTAGCCTTTTACTTGTTTTCACTGTGTGAAATTGTAAAGAGATAATTGAAATAACCTTTTACGCAAGAAATAAAAACAACAATTTCACAAAAAACACATACATTTTATTACTCGTAACTGTTTATTTATTTGTTTATTTGTAATTAAGCACAAAGCTACACAATGGGCTATCTGTGCTCTGCCCACCACGGGTATCGAAACCCGGATTCTAGCGTTGCAAGTCCGCAGACATACCGCTGTGCCACTGAGGGGCTACTCGTAATTAATTGTATAGGCAATATAATAAAAGTTGTGTGCAACTTAAATTAAATTAAAGAAACATCATTTTCCGCATGCATATATTCAAAACCTGTTTGTGGTTTGTTAATTATAAACTGAAAGTTAAGAAACATTGATACAAATTAATATAATGTTTGAATATATTTGAACAGTTGTTGTAAGTTATTCTTAATATTGTTGGGCCTAGTTTGGCCCAATTGTTAGTGTGCCGGGTTTTGGGACCATGTGTGCGTTATAAGAGCGACGGCTAAATCTCACTATACGGTCTGACAAGATTAGCCCAAGAGTTTGTTAACTAGCTGCCTACCCTCTAGTCTATCATTTCAAATAGGGGGCATCTAGTGCAGATAGCCCTTCTGTAGCTTTGCACGAAATTCAACAAAACAAGCAATACTGTTGAAAATATTTAAAGTGCAAGGGTTGGCCCTGTAGTCGTGCTCTGGATTTGGGAACTAATGAATAGGTTCGAATCCGCGTGATAACATAAAATATTCTCCCAAATGTAAGCTGCGAGTGCGTTATGAAGGTGACAGTCAATTCTTAGCGTGCTGCTGGCTGACTGACTGCCTTCACTGTAGTCACTAGTTCATAATTAGAGAATGCGGCAGATAGCCCTAGTAGCTTTGCCATAAAGTATAACTAAAAAATGTTTTTTTAACATGCATTAAATGCATTAATATTACGTAAATAATTCAAGTTCACTGGACTCAATAAACAAGGTATTGCTAACCTGTAACGTCACGTATTGGTTACAAAAATCACTGTAACTTATAACCGACTAGTTTACATTAAATTTAAGTTTCAGTTGATGATCAAGAAAAGTTAATTTCAAATTCAATGAACGTTTAAAGCAGCATAGAATTATATCTATGGAAAGAAAATAAAGCAAAGGCGTATCTAAGATATTTATTGTCCAGTTCTAAAAAACGGTACTTCAGGCAAAATTTTAGATTTCTAGTTTCTCATTCATAATTGATAACGAAACGTTGGTAGAAGAAACTAGACTAATTCCCTGCATCAAGCCTCAAATGCTGTTTTATATGGGTGTGGAGACATCAAACAGCTTAGCCCACGTACTACGCCCACAGCGAGAACACGTGAAATTATAAACTACACAGTGGCGCTGAATTCTGTTTTGAAATCATAAAAAATCACTTAAACCAAAAGTAAATTTAAACACAAAACTAAGAGCAATTCGTGAAAAAAAAAATGTCTACAAAGTCTGTTTGGTTTTCTTTTCTAACTTTAGATAGTGAATAGAAGAACGTGAGTACCTTAAACTTTTTAACAAGAAGGGACATAAAGTTTGGTTAAATAGCTCTTGACTGCAGAAAGACTTTACATTTTTTGTTTAACGAAAACCATAGAACTCATTAGCGATATTCTAAACATGATGACGGACGACACCTAAACATTTAATTTTTAAAATTAAAAAGTACAAATCTATTAAATGATAATTTAGAATAGAAAAACGTATCTTTTGAAACAATACAACACAAAGTAGTATCCAAGATATTTATTGTCTGGTTTTAAACTCGGTAAATAAGAAATTCGTTGCTTTTAACTATGCAATTAATACAAGGGCGTTGCTTTTCTTAAATATTGCACAAACTTCAAATATCTGGTTTACGTTTAAAAATTATCCTCAACACATCTGAGATAATCAGAAGTCTATAAGTTTCAGGATTATGTAAATTATTTTTATAATACCACACACACACACACACAAACAGACTGTAGGGGGCGGTGTTGAGCTCATACCTTCGTACGTTTGTTGTTAAGAACAAAGAGCTACACAATGGGCTAGATATTGTCCCGACCATGGTAATCGAAACCCGGTTTTAACGTTACAAGCCTTCAGACTTACCGCTGAGATACTATAGGGTCGGAGCCCATACACCATCAGTTTATTTATGAACGACAACAGAAGAAACAAAGAGTGAATATTTACTGGTCAATTCTAAAAGTTTAACAAATTTAGATTTACAACCAGTTATTACTTCGCTCTCACTAAAGACCAGACTTTGGATTATTGATGTTCCTACAAAGACTTGGGCCCGGCATGGCCAAGTGGTTAAGGCGCTCGACTCGCAATCTGAGGGTCGCGGGTTCGAATCCCCGTCACACCGAACATGCTCGTCCTTTCGAAGAGGGAAGGCTGTCAAGTGGGTTGCATCCTTGACGTAAGAAACAGCTTTAGAAACGATGGCAGAGCGAGATCTGCCATCGGCTCAACGGTCCGCAAGGACTATGAGATATAACAAAAAAACAACAACAAAGACTCGATATCAAAAGTGGCACAGACAACAGTATAATCAAATTTAAAATGTTTCATATTTTTAGAAGCTCTAAAACAATTTTAACTGTAAATGTGTTGTAGACAAAAGGTTGTAAAAGCGTTTACAAGAAAACCAGCATCATTTTAAGCCATAACATTGGTGATAATAAAAAATAATAAACGACTTTGTTCTGTTTTTTTTTTTATTTTAGTGAGACAAAATCTGGCAGTATGAACTAACTGCTCTAATCTGATCAAATGTTTCTTAAGCAATTGCCCCCAGTGGGACAGCGGGATGTCTGCGGACTTACAACGCTAGAATCCGGGTTTCTATACCCGTGGTGGGCAAAGCACAGATAGCCCATTGTGTAGCTTTGTGCTTAATTACAAACAAACAAACTTAAGCAATTAAAACTAAAATCAAGGAAAGACGACAGACACACATTACTTAATTTCTTTAACTAGTTTTAAAAAATAACTATTAAGTTATTTTAATTCTGGAGTGCTTTCAAATTAATCAAATTAATCTTAGACACTTCAAATAAAAAGAATGTTTTTCAACATTTCTGCATTTTTCTTACTATATTTATTTCTAGTGCAACCATTTCTTAGTATGGAAAGTTAATATATATCATATTTGACTTTTTTTGTGTTTGTGTGTTCTTTGCCTAGATATGCCCCAAAACCGACAGTATTGGTCAAGGTGACGAGGCTGCGATTGTGAGTGAACAGTTGGTCCACTTTCTAATTACAGCTGTGTAGCTATTACTGTTTCGTTTCCATGAAAACCACAGCAGTGTAAGTTTCAATGGAATTGTGAACTTTTTGTTTTTACTTTAGAGTGTAAAATGACAAAATATTAGCATTTTCCTCCTGTTATTCTTTGGTTGTCAAAAGCAGAAAAAATATGCATCCACCAATGATATTGTATTTTTTAATACAGCAAAGCATGGTTTGTTTACACCTGTCTCACACACACTACGAAAATTACATTATGATTACACCGTGCTGCACAGTGCACACGTCATGTGAAGCTGAAAATTGTTATCTAGTTTGTAGGCATCAGGTGAAGATAAACTTCACTATTGCCGGATTCGGTATGATTAAAGGTTTTCAAATAAAAAAAAATTGAGGTGGAAACTGTTCTCTGAGGCTATGGTTGGGAAATAGTCTGCTGAAAATAACATCTGGTGTTACACCAGTATAGCAATTTGTACGTAAATACAGTGCCACATACGAATGGCTTAAAGCCTAACAAAGCCATGTCTTGTTTTCCTCTATACACTTTAAATATATATATATATACATAGATGACCATTTAAAGTTTTCTCAGTGAAGAACTACTTATAAGGTAAGTTAAGTTAGAATACGAGCTAGATCTTTTTACCCAAATGTACTGAATTGTTAGCTCAGACTCTTTGTGTGTAGCTACACTTTTCTTTACGGATTTAAAGGCTGCATAAGAACACAAAACGAGCTTTTTACACCACTTTAAGATAATATTCTGGAAGCTTAGCAGATAACATCGGAGGTCGTGTGCTTGGAAAATGATGTGTTTATAAGATCGAACAAAATGTTCGATCACGAAGGTACTACGCATTAAACATATGTTGATGTGTCATGAATTTGAGCTCTAACTCATTTCTAATCAAACTGTTTCATTAATTATTTTCATGAACTTGCAGAGCATGTTCTAAGGGTCACAACTGACTAATTAGATCCACTTTCTCAGAACATTTCTAGTCTTGACACTTTGATATGCACATATTATACTGTTTCTGTTTTATACGTTTTTGAGTTTATTTTGTGTTTTGTGTGTATGGCTAGCTACTTTCCTCATACTGATGACTTATTTTCCAACACTATGTTCTACCACTATCACTTGATTAACTCGCTGTCCTCGGGTTTCAGTTTTATCAGAAATTCCAAACATTCAGGAGTTTTTTACGTGCATGTTACATTATCCTTCATTAGTTTATCTAACATATAAATTCCAAGACTGAAAAAAAAAGCACAATTTCAGTTAGTAACATTTATTTAAACTGATTTTTCTGAAGGTATTGAAGCTGAATTATCGATTATTGTTAAACACATGGTCTTTTAAATAAATTGATTGAAATGCTTTTTTAGACTAAAACTTTTTTAAAATATATACTGACACTATTTTTAACCATTTTCATTTTAGAATTTGGTTGAAATTATTCGTTAGACCCACTTCTTTCTATACATATTGATACTGTTACTTAAAATCGTTGTCTCAAGAAACTTAACGTGTCAAAGACGTAATTCAAGAAACTCATTTCTACATTTGAAGTATCCTAAAACACAAGGTTTTCAAAAATGAATGCTAGTTGTGAACAACAAAAGTAACAAGCAGCCCTTTGTGTTCTCAAAGTATTTACGAAAAATAAAGTTCAGATGATACAAATGTAAGTTACATCAGGCGTTTTTGTGGTATTATCTACCAACGAAATTTTTATAGGATGTTATATATTTACATGATATCTAGCTGACGTACCTGTTTAACGCATTGGAATGACATAGGGGAACCTGATCCAAACCTCAGTTCTTTATATCACTCTCCAGGCTGCTCTAAAGTTGCCTTCGATTATAAATCATATAACACTGGGAACACATAAGGCCTCTGTGGTGATATACAGGATCAGATTTGGGTGCTTTAACCCTTTGGGTGTTTCCTTGGAGACATAAGAAAAATGTCCAGGTTTGGTTGAAATCGGTCAAAACTGTGCACGTGAAAGGTGTCATGGGAGTTCAGATCCGAATTCCGACCTTCTATAACACTTTTCGATGGAACCTGAGGATTCATGCCAAGTTTGGTTGATATACGTCGAAAACTGTAAGCGTGAAGGGCGAACACACGATACTCCTGCTTTATACAGAAAACTGTTATGTAGTATTAACTTATCACTGTTACAGTACTAGAGGAGAAAAATAAACCTTAATTCTAATCATATGTTTCAGTTTAGAAACATGAAAGGAAAACAACCGTAAAATACCCTATGAATGGTACCTATCCGGGGATGGGGGGTGGAGGAGGAGAGACAGTACGTGGAGACACAAAGAAGCGTATGCGTAATTTGGTAACTGTAACAAGACTAGTGCAATTTTATACTGGTTAATGGATGAAACGTGTTTCCAAAAGTTTTTCGAAGGAATTTATAATTATTGCTGGATACTGTGTTATGGGCAAGTTAGGAATCAGGAGCATGGATACAAAGGTCAAGATGGTTTCTATTAAACGAATGTTCCGAACCCTGTGTACCACACAAAAATATCGGTTTTGTATGGAAACGAGACCAATTGGGTATGGAGTCACCCAGATAAGGCTTCTTTTCATACCTCCCGTTCAATCGTCGCAGGAAAATTAAATGGGTATTTCAGAAGGTGATAGTGATGAAACTTTGGACATATAATACATTTTTATGGAATTATATTGTGCCAAACGAGTTTTGGCCTTTCCAGCTCTGACCAGTAAACCGTGAACAATGAATGTTGATTCTCTTATCAGACTTATGAATGTAATTGTACCTTGGCAGTGTTTATTTGGGTTGGAGAACCCAATCCACACTGTTGAATATTTTCTCAGTTACTTTTCTTTCATAGGATACCACAATAGCATGGTAATCCATTGCAGCTCATATACAGTTCGGCTCCCAACTAAGCCTAGATTGCTCACTGACATAGTGTTATGGGAATCTTTGTGCTTCACCTAAACACCACCTATGTGTTGCGCACCACAAACGTTTGTAACCGTCCTTCAGTGCCTGACAGTGCATCCTTCACTTAAATCCATTTATATCGAATTCTTATGTGGTATCATTCTTCTGACTTTATAGATGGTTAACAGCCATTTATAAGAATTATGTTCCGCCTCTTGCATTGCCTTGGGAACTAATTCATACATCCCTAATGGTGTCCAGTCTTATGGCAGTGATTATGCACTATTGTTCTAAGTTATTGGTACTGCAATATGGAGTGGGCAGTTTTGGATTATAGATCTTGACAACCTTGTTACTCACCCTTGATCATGTATGTGGACAAAGCTTTTCAAAAACACAAAGATTGAGTGCACAGTCAGGTGATTAATACTGGTATGTTGGAGAACGGAAACGGTATTAACACCGTTTTTTTTTCATGGTTTATAGAAATGCCACCGTAGACTTAGACGTATGACTTAATGTCTTATCTTGACATAACCATACCTTCTTGTTATTCTGTTCACAGAGTACAAAAACATTCATATTGTATAATGATATCAATATTTTTTTGATAGAAACTATAGTTCGTTTTTGCGCACATTGCTTAAATTTCCTATTATATTTGTGAAACCCGCAGCAACCCTAAATCCCAGCGAGCAACGCTTTGTTTCATATTGGAAAGTTCTTATTACCTCGTGATCGATAGCAAATCAAACATTTCTTGGGGTAGAATTCTGTTTAAAAGGTTTTACATTATCCTATATGTATGTTTTCCTTTCTTAATCGATTCTGTTCACTGTGTTATGGAGAGTTGAATTTGAAATTGATGTGCCCCAGGCTTTGCATCTCTTTGCCATCCCTATATGCAGATATCCAGCTCTAAGTGTAACCGTAGTGCCATTGCACTGTTAAATGGTCGGGAATTCGCTGTGAACCAGGTGGTTAAGGCACTCGACTCGCAATCTGAGGGTCGCGGGTTCGAATCCCCGTCACACCAAACATGCTTGCCCTTTCAGCCGTGGGGGCGTTATAATGTGACGGTAAATCCCACTATTCGTTGGTAAAAGAGTAGCCCAAGAGTTGGCGGTGGGTGGTGATGACTAGCTGCCTTCCCTCTAGTCTTACACTGCTAAATTAGGGACGGCTAGCGCAGATAGCCCTCGTGTAGTTTGCGCGAAATTCAAAAACAAACAAACAAACAATCGCTGTGAACCAAATATCTATGTACGAAATATGTCGTCTTGCTCCACACCTCACTTCTGCGGTGATACGTCACTGTATTACCAAAATCCTTCTAATAATGTATGATTAAGCCTCCTTACATTTTTTCCAACACAGTGCACAGAAACATCAAACTCACCACTAGCTAATGGATTACCGTGAACAAAGCGTTATCTTAATGTTCTGAGATGAAGAAAAACAAGAAGAAAAAAAACAACAGTTTGAGAAACTTCTCTTTGAAGATGGCCTTTTTAAAACTGTAAACACCAACTGTAAGTAAACAGTTGATTAACTTCTGTCATTTTTTTAAATTCATTTGTTTCATGATTTCCTCAGTGCGTGACACATTGTTTGATTTAAAGGGCACATATAGAATAACAGAATACTAAAAAAAAGGTAAGTATTTTAGCTCATGGGAATAATAGAAATTATGGGAAGTAATATCAGCACAATGAATCCTTCCCTTCAGAATAACAGAATACTAAAAAAAAGGTAAGTATTTTAGCTCGTGGGAATAATAAAATTATGGGAAGTAATATCAGCACAATGAATCCTTCCCTTCAGTTTCACTAGTATATACCACTAGTATATACCAAGCATTTCGAATCACCCTTTGATGATAAATAATCCGTGGGATATCAATATTATCATAACTCCAAGTTATTACATTGGATCAACCATAAGAACTTTGATATTTTAGCTGTGTTAGTCATCCATTAATAGTTTTACAGAGGTCGAATTCCATCATTTTACAAGAGTTTCTCAAATACCATCTGAGGGGAAAAGTTCCATCGGTACGTAAGATAAACTAGTTATGCTTGTATTGTTAGAATCTAAATTTTACAAGACCCATGAATT